AAATTGGTATCGTCAGCATAATTATCTTGTTCATTAAAAAATTCTATGATGTATCATAGAATTTTTTAATGAACAAGATAAATCATTTATATATAATAAGAACAACAACGATCCAAGAACGGAATCTTGTGGAACGCTATATTTAATAACTTTATGCGTGGATTCAAATCCCTTAATTGAAAAAAAACTGAGTGCGATCCGTAATATATGAAGAAAACCAATGAATTTTTTTATTAGAACGTTGTGATCAACCGTATTAAAAGCTTTTTGAAGATCTATGAATACACCACAAGCAAAAGAACCACTGTCAATTGCACCACGAATCATTTCAGTAATGATAATAAGAGCGTGAGAAGTGGAGTGATTTGAGCGAAACCCAAATTGTCGAATATGAAAACAAGCAGAATTATTTAAAAAGTTGTAAATACGAGAATACGTAAGTTTTTCTAAAAGTTTGCTGACATTTGATAATAATGAAATTGGTCTGTAGTTAGTACATACAAGTTTTGAGTCTTTTTTATGAATTGGGATAACAGAAGCAGTTTTTAAGATATCAGGGAATACACCGGTTGTGAATGACAAATTAAATAGTTCAGAAAGTACAGGAGAGATATCTTTTGCAAGAGCTTTAAAAATAGGTATCGGAATGCTGTTAGGTCCCAAAGCCTTGCTGTTATTAAGAGAATGAATAATCGAGAATACTTCGTTTTTGTCTGTAGGTTTTATGAACATTGAATTAAGATTAGGATTTTAAAGATATTTATTAAAGTCAGTATTGGATGAGTGGATCTTATTCTGTAAATCTTCCGGAACTGAAACAAAGAATGAGTTAAAAGATTCCGAAATTTTAATGGGGTCATATATCATGGAGTTGGTAGAAGATAAGCATGAAGGAGATGAGTTAATTCTCGAACTAATGTTTAAAAGGTTCTTAATACCATCCCGTGTAGATTTAAAATTTTTGGCATTGTCAGAGAAGAACTTAGAGTAATGGTTCTTTTTACTACGACGGGTGAGAGTAACAAGTAAGTTTCTATATGTTTTATAAGATTTTTCTAGATTGAGTTTGTTATTAGGATTCTTTGCTTTAAGAAATTTGTTAAATATTTTATTTCGCATTTTAATAGAAGTCAAGATTCCTCGTGTTATCCAAGGTTTGAGACCCCTTGATAAGCAGCGATTGCTGACTTTTTTCAATGGTGCATGTTTATCTAAAAGAGAATTGAAACTTGAGAAAAACTCTTCAAATGACTTATTAGTCTTACCTTCGTTGATATCAATTACATTAGTCCAGCTAACTTTTGAGAAATCAGTACATAATTCGACGCAATTTATCTGTTTTAAATTTTGACGAAAAATGCAGCTTTTACGAGTATTAATTTTGGTTCTATAAAATGGATGTATTAAAAATTGATCTGATACCGTAGAAGTAAAATTACCGGCAAAAATATTTGTAGAAGTTCATTAGAAAATATGTTATCAATTAAAGTTTTGGAGTGATTTGTGATTTTTGTTGGCAATGAAATAAAGGGAAGAAAGTTATTTAAAGCAATAGTGTCTAAAAATTCAGAGACAGAATTATCTGAGTTTGCTAATAAAAGATCGACATTAAAATCGCTTATTAAAAAAATAGTTTTGTTTTTTTCCATAGATAGCTTTTCAAAAAGTGGAATTAAATATGATTTAATAAATTCTGAAATATCCAATCTAGGATGGCGATAAATACAGCCAATAATGATGTTTGATTTTTTAGGAATTATGATTTCCTCAAACACAGATTCAAAAAGCTTTGGTTTAAGCATATAAAGACCATATCGAAGTTTGTAAATTAATGTATTCGATATATAAAGTAAAGCTCCTCCAAAATAAGATTTTGTCAAAGTGTGCTCATAAACATAACCGGTAAGATTTAATGGGATAGTTGGTAGAATGTCATTTTTTAGTTTAGTTTCAGTTATGCCAATAATACTGAATTTATGATTAATAAGAAATAAAAGTGAGTTTAATTCGTCAAAATTTTTAACAAGAGAAGCAATATTTAAATAAAAAAGAGAAAAATTATTTTTGTTGATGTTAAAAGAGTTAAAAGTTTCTATGTCCATATATTTACAATTAATAGGGTTTTCTTCGAGGTTTACGTCATTGTCATTGTTGTTATTAAGTTGATGGGAAATAAAATCATTAAGTTCATTATAAAGATTAGACCATATGGTGTCTGGGAAAGATGATATGTTGTTTTCGAATTCATTAATATGAATCACTTTATTGTTTGCAGGTGCAGCTCCTTATCTGATAAAGTACTGAATGGAAAAAATTTTTCCCTACATGAAATACAGAACCAAGATGTTTTTCAGTATTCTAAATTCAATATCATTCAGACGACAACATTTTTTATAAAAGGTTAAGGCAATAATTACATTGAAGGTAGTGATGGTTTTTATTAATTTCCTTGAAGCAATCTTTGCAGTGAGTAAACATTTAAGCGATACAGTTTATAAAATGAAATGATTGAATGAACTGGAATCAAAGAAAAAAAAAGGAAACAAAGAGTAATATGAAGAGCAATATAATCAAAAATAATAAAAATAATAATAGTATTTATTAAAAATATAAATATAATTCAATTGATAAAATAGTAAAACAAAAATAATATTTATTTAACAGTTAAAATAAATAATGAAAAAATACTATTAATAAAGTAAAAGAAGAATAACATAAATATTCATTAAAAAAAAGTTATAATTGGTTAAATGATAAGTTGTAAGTATAAAATAAAACAATTTATATTAAAATAATAATAAATTATAAATGATTATAAGTAAAGTATAAGTTATAATAAGTGGAAAATATAATAATAAGTTATTAAGTTTATACTCAGTATTATAAGTTAATAAGTAAAACTATAGTAACTAAGCTAACAAACTATATAGATATATAAAAATAATAATAATACTAGTAGCAATAATAATTATTATAATAACAATAATAAAAACAATAATAAGTATATATAATAATAAACAATATAAGAAAAAAGAAAAAATTAATGAAAACAAACAAGAAAAGCTAGAAAAAAATAAATAAAATAAGAATATTCAAAAATAAGAATAATTACATTAAATTAAAAGCGTATTTCCCCATATGGGGACCACTGATGTTTTGAGAAAAATTGCCAAACCGTCATCACTATATATCCCGAAATCATTTTTATTATTTATTACATATTTATTAACTGCGTAATCTGAAATAAAAGAAAAAATCCCCACAAATTCACACACCTCGGCGCCATCAAAAGCTCCCATCGAAACATCGAATAATCCGCTTGACTTCTTAATCCAAACTTGATTGCTATCAAATAACAGTGACTTTCTGGCGTGGTAAATAATCGACTTTTGCTCAGGATCTATAACCAGACGCTGCTCAGCAAAACTAATAGCATTTTAAAGTAGTTTTTCAGTTATTGAGGGATAAAAATCAACGATATCAAAAATGAGAAACTTATAAAGATTTGGATCACCGATGGACTTGAACCAGCATATAACATCTAGTGTTTTTTTCCACTGATTGAGATGGAGTCTTTTTACAAGTTCAGAATTTATGTTTGAAAGAATAACTTTACCAATTCTGCCGATTTCATTTTTGGCAGGGTTTAATAATCGAACTGTTGGATTGTTTGCAAAATTTTCTTTGTAGTCTTTTTAATGTTATAAAGCAGTTAGTTGATGTATTGATATCGATTTTAGTAAAAATGACATGATTCTGTAAAATGCGTTTACCTTCTTTATTTATATCATTTTTTACTTTTGAATCCGATTTTTTGTAAGTTGAAGTTACGGCATTGGTTAATGATTGTAGTCTTGTTTAGATAAGTTATATAAATTAGATGTTTTATCTGCAAAAGTGTAGGTAAGATTACAATTGCGTATATTAGATATATCTTCTTTTAATTTTTTCTGGAACTTGCTATAAACTTTACAAAATGTTATGTTTTTTATTAATTCTATTAATTCGCTTTCAAATGCACACATTTCAGTAATTTATTTAGGGTAATTTGGCGTTTTTATTCCATAATTATTATTATAAAAGGTATTGTTCTTACTATTCTGATCATCATTTATAAAGAAAAACGCTTTCCACCTCATTCTATTTATTAAAGCCTCGGTTTTGCTGATTGTTTTTTGTATTCTTTAATTCGTGGAATTGGAATGTTCTTGACAGAATAATTCAAGTTCGCTTTTTCCTATTCGCAGACAACTTGAGTAGAGTGACGGTATTTGACGGCTGTATCAAAGCAAAATGTTTTGGTGCATTTATGACATATGCCAGTTTTTGCAACGCTACGCACTTATACCAGTTCGCGCTTATGCAGCCTACAGCAATTGTTGGACAAATACAAAACTTTCTCTTCATGTTCAATAAGATAAGGATAGTTTGAGCAATGACGGAAAATACATAACCTTGGCGATGACAAACTCCGTTGCTCCAATAAATTACTCGGAAAACTTAACTCTTGTCAGCGACTTAAATTTCAAAGAAAAAAACAATAAAACAAAGGGCATAGATTCTACCATAATTAAATAATAAAGAATTTTATTTTGTACGCGCGTAAAAAAAGATTTTCTTTTATTACTATTAGATGCCCAGGCAAGTAATAGCACTGTATAACATTTTTTTTTAATTGCCGAGAAATTCAAAGATGATTTTCAGAAACAATATTTTCGTCAAACCTGTATTTAAAATAGTAACTAAAATATTTAAAATAATAACTAAAAAAATATCCATCTGCAGTATTTCAAAAAAAAAATTAAAATCAGGATCAATAATTTAATATATTAGAAACTTTATATATCAATTTTACAAATTACAATTTATGAATTTTATTGATTACAAACAGTTTTCAAGTTTTAATAATTTAGTTTAAAGATTTCTGAAAAATATTTTTCGTCAATTTCAAATTTTAAATTAAAAAGAAATCTAAAAAATAAAAAAAAACAACAGAAAAATCGAAGAGAATCAAGGTATAAAATATATAAACGTAAAACAGACTTACAACTTTATTCTATTGAATGTTAAAAGATATCACACAATAATAAAAAAGCTGCTTTTTAAAAAATCAAAAAAATCTCAGATTATAAAATTTCAAACTTTACACCTCTATTTATTAAACGATCAATTAATCCAGTGCCTTTAAAAGCTGATCCTGCAGTAAGCACACCACCTCTAAAGCACAATTATATATATATATATATATATATATATATATATATATATATATATATATATATATATATATATATATATATATATATATATATATATATATATATATCAACAGTATATCCTATAAAATTATAGTAATATTTAATAAATATAAAATTTCATTAGAAATTTTATATTTATTATAGACTTCAGAAATGTTTAAATGTTCATTTGACATTGAAAAATGGGTACTATTACAGTGCTGTTCAAAAAATACCGATTTTTTTTATTATAACAGATGATAGAAAACTTTAGAAAAAAAATATTTTAGAAAACGATTTAGATGTAATTTTTTTAAAGAGAAAATAAGAAACTATAACACCTGCATTAAAACCAAATTTAATATTTAAATTTTGTACAATCAAACTATGACAATATAGTCAGACAAAAACTTAAAATAAAAACAAATTTACAGCTTTTGTAAGATTGCAGATGCACTGCTCCAGTTTTGTCTCCAAATGGAGAATATTTTTAAAAAAGTGCATAACCAATCAATCCACCATTAATCAAAAACTCTAATACAAGAAATCATATGTACAGCTATGAAGGACATAGGTATTTATGGATTTAGAAATAACTTCTTAAAAAATGGAACTCCAATCATAAATACTTAACAAAAAAAAGTTGTTAATCCAAAATCAACAAATTAAAAATATTTATAATAACTCAGTGAATGAAAGTAGTGAAAAAATGAAAAGTTTATCAGTTATTAGTCAGAAAATGTGACAATGTACAAATTTACACTTGCTGATACTATTATCAGCATTTAAACTATATAAAACAAGTTATTCATAACTTTAATCACAAATATAAACAATTTCACAATCATAACCACAAGTTATTATCAAAACTGTGACATTAAATTACAAACCGTCATCACATGGTCTGTAATACAAATTATCGTACCTGTTTCTTAGGTTATCATCTAAAATTGTTTTTGCGCATGCAACAACACATATAGATGTGAAAATATAACCAATTTCTAGACGAAAAAAAAGTTCCAGCATTAACATATATAAATGTGAAAACCAATTTTTATATATATAAAAAGTTTTTTAAATTTATAATTGATCATTATATTTTCAAATGACTTTAAGCTTATTAAAAGGTAAAAAAGTACAAAATTTTATATAAATACAATTGTGGTATTACAATTATAACTAACATATAAGTATACCTGGTCCTATTATTAAAAAATACCTGGTCCTATTATTTGCATAGATAGTCCTTTATCTGGCTTTCCAGCAGCAGCACTAAAGTTTCAAAATTGTTAATTTTAACATATTTATAAATTTCAAAAATTTTAAAAAAGTGATACTATGATTTTATTTGATGTAAAATAAACTATGAAACATTTTAGTAAAAAAACTTTTTATCATTTTAACTTTAGTAACCATGGAAATATAAACCTGGAAGTAGGTTTTTCACTGTATCCTTTTCCATGAAACACCATTTTAAATCCTCCACGTGCTAACTAAATGATATTATATAAGATTATTGTTACAATTTATTTATTTTGTTATTTTTTTTTTTTATCAATTTTTTCTTATTTTCAAAAAAAAATGCTGCAACAAATTTTATTTAAAATGTAAGGAAAGTTTGTGTACCTAGTGCCACCACACTTTATTTGAAAACTAAAAAGTTCTAAGTAATGCTTCTCAGTAAAGGGATTATTTAAAAAAAATTTACTTTTCTCCTATTTTGATTCTCAGAGAGCGTTGTTACAGCAAGTTATAATTGGAAAATGCTTTTTGATGGTCCAAAGTAAATTTTTGCTGCTGGTATGTTCTGTTGCTGGTACAATCTAAGATGAAACGCATTTCTATAAAATCTTGTATATTATATTGTTTGTTGCTTAAGTTCTAAATGCGATGTTCAATAAGTTTCTTCTCAATCTGGGTTTGTTAATAGATGACATTTTTATTGAGGCTATTAAGTCTTGTATCTAGGGCCACATGCGCGTTTCTCTGATAAATAATTTGTTTGATAAAGAGGTAGATTGTTGAATTTTGATTGGTGCAGAGGGTTTTTATTTTCGCAGTTGTTTTGGGGTTACCATTTTATGCATAGACTTATTTGTCAATTTTACTCAGAACTACAATTTTGTTATACTGCTGAACACAAAATTAGTTTTGAATCTGTTTTAGAAGCATACATAACCCACTTTGTGGTAACCTATCAGTGCTTGATACCTTACAGATGCTTGACGTACACTTTGCATGTACAACTCATCCCCTCAGTATTATCTTGTTCTATCTACAAATGTAATAAATAAAATGTTCTATCTAATATATAAAATAAATACAAAAAAGAAAAATATATAAATAAATACAATGTTCTACCTGATATAATATAATATATTATATTAGATAGAACATTGTATTTATTTATATATATATTTTTTGTATTTATTTTATATATTAGATAGAACATTTAATTTATTACATTTCAAGACTGTATAATGCTGAAATATGAAAGATTTTTTTTGCTTTTGTGAGCAATACATTTACAATTCATTCTGCATTCTGAAAACTTTTTCTAGACTCTCGAATACAGACACCAAATAATGTAGATAACCTGGTAAACATTTATTGTATTTAAGATTTCTTCTATTTAAGTGTTTAGATTATAGTTCCTCGTTATAGTTTTATATGCATAACAAATTCAACTACTCTTTCGTAAATGATTGTGGAGCTTGTTATAAACAATCATGCACCCTAGTAAGAAATCTGATGGAAGATATTGACAGGAATGATCATAAATTACTTGTAAAACAAACAAATTTGAAAAAAAAAAAAAAAAATCACTAGTATATGCACACGCCATCATGATATGTTAATAGTGAGATATGAGAGTAATCAGAAAATTTGCTGTAATGACTCATATATTTACATTTTAATGGGTAATACCATTTCTAATAAGTTGTTTATAAGTTTTTTGTAATAGGATTTGTTCATTGATTTATAATAATAGTATAAATAATGTTATAGTATTCAAGTAATATAGTTTCATTTTCTTTTCAGCATCTCTATGTGTGATTACAATGCATACTGTGTTAGAAGCAGAAATAGTAGGTTTAAATCTTATACTTGTAAAAAAGTTGTGTCCAACCTGTCTTAGTAAAGTTATAAAACATTTATCAAAAAGTATGAGTGAAAATAAAAATTATGAAGATTTTGATATCGTTAGTGAAACATCCATTCAAAATAAAAAAGAGAGTGTAAAATTTTACAGCTGCTGGAGCATCCTATGTTGCATAAGTCAGATAAAATCAGAGAAAGTAAACAAAAATTAACAGCATTAACAACCTCTATTAAGAAAAAAAAAATGTAGCCACTTCCCTTAGTATATCAGAAGAATGTTTTGAAGAACAGTCAAGTTTCGGTAATGAGTATATGGAAAAAGCAAACTTGTTTGATAACATTATGATGTTGTAAAAAAATAACTACTAAACTAATAAAATGGCAAAGTCTACAGCAATTCTAAAAAAATTCAACTGACAACGCTTGCTCCAACTGACTGGTCAATAAAAAAAATTCTGAAACATTGCATGTAACAAATTATGTAGCCTGAACTGCACATAAGTTAGCATTAAAAAAAAGTATTTTAGCCATGGCTAATCCTAAATAGTAGTCTTTAATAGTATCAATAATAAGGGCAAGTCTGTAATTCTACCTCTTTTGTACGGTTCAGACTTTGTCAGCTCACCTAAAGACAAAGCTGAATTGTTTGCCAAGAACTTTTCATCAATATAATCTCTTGATGCCACTAGTTGCGTTTTACCTGATATACCCGTCAAACAGCTTGATCCATTGCTCGACATTCGTATCACTCCAGCTTCTGTATCTTAAGTGATTTCCCGCTTAGACTCTTCTACAGCTTGCGGCCCGGACAACATACATGTTATAGTCTTGCTGAAGTGTTCTCCTGAGCTGTCGTCTATCTTTTCAAAACTATTCAACAAGTGCTTATCAGAGTCTTGTTTTCCAGCCTGCTGGAAAGCAGCATCTGTTATCCCTATTTTAAAAAATTCTGGAGAGCGATCTGACTCATCTAACTACTGCCCCATTAGTCTTCTTTCTATCATAAGCAAGGTTTTTGAATCTTTAATTAACAAACACTTTATCTCTCATCTCGAATCTCATAACCTACTTTCTGATCATCAGTATGGATTTCGATCTTCTCGTTCTACGGCTGATTTGCTATCAGTAATAACCGGTATTTATTTACGGTTTTATCGCGCATTAGATAAAGGTGGAGAGGTTAAGGCCATTGCTCTTGACATTTCTAAAGCGTTTGATAAAGTTTGGCATGCTGGCCTCCTCCATAAGCTTTCTTCTTATGGTGTATCTGGAAACATTTTTAAGATTATTGAATCCTTCCTTTCCAATCGTAGTATAAAAGTTGTCCTTGATGGACAACACTCTTCTTCTTATTCTGTAACCTCAGGGGTTCCCCAAGGTTCAATCCTTGGCCCTATACTCTTTTTAATTTACATTAACGATCTTCCAGATATTCTAAGATGGCATTGTTCGCTGATGATACTACCATTTATTCTTGTCACAATAAGAAGCCAACTCCCTCTGATTGCTTGCAGGGGGAATCTGAGCTCGAAAAGGATCTCACTTCTGCTACAGCATGGGGCTCGCAGTGGCTGGTGAACTTTAATTCAGATAAAACTCAATTTTTTTCGGCCAATCGTTATCGCAATAATTTAGACCTTCCTATATTTATGAACGGTAATGTACTCGATGAGTCTCCTACCTTTCATCTTCTAGGATTAACTCTTACTTCTGATCTTTCTTGGAAACCTTATATCAAATCCATTGCAAAATTAGCATCTGCTAAAGTTGCTTCTCTTTATTGAGCTCGTCACTTTCTTACTCTGGATTCTATTCTCTATCTCTATAAATCTCAAATCCGGCCTTGTATGGAATACTGTTGCCATATCTGGGGCGGATCTTCTAATGATGCCCTTTCTCTTTTAGACAAGGTGCAAAAACGCATTGTAAACATAGTTGGACCTGCTCTTGCAGCCAACCTTCAACCTCTGTCACATCGTCGTAATGTTGCTTCTCTTTCTTTTTTCTACAAATACTATAATGGGCACTGCTCCAAAGAGCTAGCGTCTCTTGTGCCATCTACTAAAATTCATTCTCGTGTTACTCGTCATTCAATTAAGTCTCATCCTTTTTCTGTTACTGTTCCTAAGTGCTCCAAAAACTCTTATTTGTCTAGTTTTTTTCCTTGAACATCAGTTCTTTCGAATTCGCTTCCTTTATCTTGCTTTTCTGATTCATATAATTTGCAATATTTTAAGTCGTCTGTCAATCGTTATCTTGCTCTACAATCTTCATCTTTTCTCTTCCAGTAACTCCCAACACTAATTAGTGGTTGCTTGCAACCTTGTTGGAAGCGAAGATAATTAAAAAAAAAAAAAAAAAAAAAAAAAAATTAGGAAAAGTTCTTCCTGATGTAACAGTTCAACTGGTCAAGTCTTTTTATGAAGATGAAGAATATAGCTGTATAATGCCAGGTAAAAAAGAATATGTAAGTATAAAGAAAAATGTTCAGATGCAAAAACACTTGCTCTTATGTAATTTTAAAGAATTGTTTGTTGCTTTCAAAAACCATGAATTCAGAAATAAAAATAGGGTTTTCATGGTTTTGCACATTGCGACCAAAATGGTGTATTACTGCTGGTGCTTCAGAATGCATCTGTGCTACTCATCAAAACTTAAAACTGTTTTTACATCCTCTTGGCGTGACAAAGAACTGTTACCTTATATTGTATGTAAATTTACTATGTAAACTTAATCCTGTGATTATTTATTTCAAAAAGGAAGGTTTTATCAAGGACAAATTTTATTGCATTGTTTCATATGATATGATGTATGATGTGAACATGGTGTATAAAATTATTGATGTTGTCAACAATGTGGTGGTACAGTCAAACATTTGGCAACACTAGTAAGCTTGCGAAGCGATATAGGTGCAATGTACAAGTATTGCAATTAAACATTGAAGGTGTAAATTTCATTTATATATCAACAGAAGATTTAACTTTGGTGAGAAACACTCTTAACGGAACGATTGGATATTGCAAATACCTCGAACGTGGAGTTACTATGAGTTTGTACCACTTGGCCATTAAAAAGTAAAAAAATATATATTTAATAAACCTTTTATTATCTTTAAAAAACATGCATAATTTTTATTGATAAACTCGAACAAATTTTTTATGTGGAATCATCTTCAAAATTAATTTTTTTTTTTTTTTTTTTTAATGCCTTTAATAAAACATGTTTAACAAAATAAAACGGAATAAATGCATGTTGCTATTTTGTCTAAATAGGCGCATAGCTATGAAGACTTTGAACTCATTCATGACTTTGGAAACATACATGTAACAACTGTAAACTTAGTACCTGGTAACTATGCTTGTGTTTCCTATGAGAAAAGGTGGTGGATAGGAGTCATTGAAGACATAAATCCAGAAGAAAAAGATGTGCTTGTCAAATTTATGTGTCCAAATGCTCCTGCACGGTCATTTAAATGGCCATTAGTGGATAGCCAATGCTGAACTCCAGATGTCCACATCATTTGCAAAGTTGAAGTACCGACTACCATTTAGTCAAAGATGACTTGAAAAAAAATTGTTTTACTTAGGATATAGATATGTTTATATTTAAACTAATTTCAAGTTATCTAAGTCTGATATGTCTCATCCATACTTTTTTTTAATCTTTTATTTTTTGAACAATTTAAAAATAATGTGAATGAAAAGTATATATAAAATCACTTAAATTGAGTATTTATTTTTCAAAAGATTTTTTCATACATTATAATTTTGTTGTTAAAAATTAATAAAAATAATAAAGTTAATCTGTTAATTTCTAATTTGATTAACTTGTAAAAAGTTGATATAGATTCAAAACTCAATAACTCCTCAAGTAAACATAAGGCCAAAAAAAAAATTGGTTCGTAAAGTTATTATACATCTTATTTATAAGAAAATAAAAATATTTTTATTAATATATAATAAATTTCTTTTTCTATCAGTCAGATTTTTTTTTATAACTATAAGTGTCAATGCCCTCTTTCATTTTATTTTATTGTATTGCCCTTATTAAGTACATTTTATGAATCCTAAAATAAATTACATTGCCTTGTTTCAAGAGATACAAACTTCAAGTTGCTGTATATCCTAAACTGATAAGAATTTTATAAATAAAATTTACAGTGTTTCCTAAGTTATTTTTTTTGAACATTTGTGCCAAATTTCAGAAAATTTGGTGATGTAGGGTGCAGATTTGTGTTTTTTTTGTGTCTTTTGAAAAAGTTTTACCCAGAAGATATATTGGATACAAGAATTTTTTCCAGAAAATATCTCTTTAATGCTGAATAGTGATGAAAAATTTGAGTATAAACAGGAGCCAACAATAGCAACCAACTACTTAGCAGGGAAAAAAAAATTATTTACTGATTCCATAAGTTTTTCAAAATATAACTCAAGAGTTATTTTTATATACACACAAAAAATAACTTTATTAAGCAATGTACACATCTGAAAAAAATAAAAATAAAAACTTTATTTCTTTTTCAAACTTATTTATAAATTATAAAAAAGCTATAAGAATTTATTCTAACAAAGTACTTTTTAATAAATATCAATATACCCTTATTAAAAAAAATTATTATTCGCAACAAGTATCATTTTTGGTTTGACACCATTCATAAGCAGTGTTGGGGTCAAACTGATTAATAAGATTTAAATATGATCACCAGCAAATTTTGAGTGCTGTGACTATTTTTCTCAGCATTCCAAGATATATCTTGGTATTAATCATGTCACGCAGCCATTACTAACTAATGTGACTATGTTAACAAACTTTTTTATTTTTTTACAACAAAACTTATTCCAACAAATATTTGATTTGATGTCCCTTTTTTACATTTATGTATGTACATCTGTATTACAGATATTAGTACAGTAACTGTTAGTACGTTCTTTTTCTTTTAATTTTTTTTTAAATTGTAAATTCTTGATCTACTAGCAGGGACAAATTACTTTACCAATTTCACAAATTTTTCTGCTGTAGATTAAATACAGTTTTTTTGAAAGAAAAAAAAACATTTAAGAACTTACGTCTTCACGTGAAGGTCCTTCAAATGAAAATGTTCCAAACGAAAATATTTTAGGATACTAAAATAAAAATAATAATAATCACTTTAAACTATTGAATAAAACATTCAAGTAATAAAAGTAATAAAGTGAATAATGGAAAACATAAGACTGTTAAAAAGTACATATGTACACATTTCAATTTACATTGGACTTTATGAGCTTATAAGCTCATGATTTCAAACAAGTTTTGTTTTTATTTCTTTATAAATAGATTTAAAAAGTTAATTTTTAAAATGATTTGAATTAAGAGTTAAAAACCTAAAATAAAAACCTATATAAAAAATATATGTACATAATATATAAATACATATATTTTTTTATTAAAATAAGCATCAAATGTTGACTTACTTAAATGTATTATTATATATTTATTATATAAATATATAATAATGTTGTTGGATCTTATACTTGTATCTATTGAAAAACTTGTACTGATATGGATTAAACAAATTGAGCAAGTATCCTCATTTATCGTCAACAATATTCATTACAAAAATAAAAGTTAAATACTTTATAGTTAACATTAAAATTTTTATTTAGTTACTTCTCTTAAATCAATTTAAAAAATACTTTGTATATTTTTTATTAGTTTCTTTGTGGAAAACTTTTAAAAGTTGGCAATAAGTCTTGTAATAAAACCATGATTTGCTTGACAATCTAGGGTCTAGTTTATTGTAGTTAATTGTTTTTGAATTTTTTTAATAAAAAAACATTTAAATTATTTTACCGAAAATTTATTAGGAGTTATTTCAACCTTTCATTTTTTAATTTCTATTCAAGATCCTTTTAACTTAGTTTTTCATATAGACTCCTAACTTAAATAACTTAACTTAATAACATAACTTAAATTTAATAACAGCATTGTAACACATTTTCTATAGCAAGTAAATGCAAAGTAGATCTTTGTTACTTGTTTGAATTACTGTAAAGTTTTTTTGTAACTTCTTAATACAAATGGTTTTAATATAGTCTTTAATTTTTTGGATTTTTTTTTTGGGCACTTTTATATAGTTCATTACATATTTCAATATATTTTTATATATGTTAATATATGTTTTATATATATTAAAATGTATAACCATATATTGAAACATATATTATATATTATACATATAATATGTATAATATATAATATATGTTTCAATATATGGTTATACATTTTAATATATTTATAATATATAATAATATATGTTTATATGTTATAATTTTTATATAATATATAACCAGTGTTAGAGCATCAAAAGATTGAAAAAGTAAAAGAAAAAAAAAAAAAAAGAAAAAAAAATGTAACTAAAGATAAATATTTTTAGAATTTTTAAAATTATTCATATATAATATAGGTTTGATTCAAAGAGATTATATTTATTTCAATCAAACTTTTTAAGATAAGAATTAAATAATGTAGAGATTAAACTTTTTTTAAATATGACATTTTTATGAATAACTTTTTTTAGAATTAAAGTTGCTTTTTTAACTAAAGTTTTTTAGAGTTTTACTACATTTCTGGATCTTTAAGTTTTTAGGTAGAATAAAAAATTCAATGTTTCAAGGTTGTCTGTATGTAGTTATTTGATCAATTATTAATGTGCAAGGCAAACATTTCAATTCATTCAAAATAATAAAAGGGTCTGGCCCTCTTTCGAACTGATCCATATACTTCAGGTTATCCAATTTCTGTTGATATTCTTTAGCAATTTTAGAATGCAAAAACACATACTTACATTTAGCATTGTGAACATCAGCTGCAGCAAATACACAGTTTGAATCAATAAGCAACAAAAAATTTTAGTCATAACTCTTCAGTGCCTAATATTATGTTTTTTGTAGACAGATTCAGTAAAAACTTGTCACAAATTTAGACTGTGATCTAGGGATTTTGTATTTTCTTTTGTGTTTCTTTGACTTCTAATAAAGATTAAGCTGGGTTACACCAACTTAAATGTTTATGTCCTCAGAACAAAATCTACATTAGCCATGGTTAATAGACTTATTTGAAGGTTTTATTCAAGGATAGCTCTTTTTCCAGGATGAATGATACTTGGTTTTTCCCATACTGATGTATTTAATTGAAGTAAATTTAAATAAATAACTACAAAAAAACAACAACAAAAAAAAACAACAACAACATACACACTTGCCTGCCTAAAATTCAACTTGTTTCTGCAGGGACCTTGTTTGTTAATGTTCATGTTTTAGAGTTAAAGAGTTGAGAGAGGGTTATAAATATAAAGTAGTCTTTTTATCTGTAGTTATCTGTTCTTGGCCAGAGATGTTCAAAAATAAACAAACCTTATTTCCTAATTCTTTCAAAGTTCATAATTATTAATTTAAATATTTATGTTTAACATAACACAAAAAATAAATATAAGAATTCAACTTATAACATTTACATGTCTTAACAATCTGGTACAAAAAAACAATAACTATTTAATGGCTAATATTAAACTTTATTTGAAAAACTCAAAACTTTACATTTATTTTAAATTTTTTTATCTTGATTGCCTCCAAAATCTTTATAACATATTTTTTTATAAATGAACATGGTAAGACTTTAAAAAAAAAAACAGGCTATTGCCTTAAATACTGACTAAAAAACAGGCCAAAATAAAAAAGCAGGTAAAAAACAAAAACAGAAGGTTTTCTAGGAGCTCTGCCACAGTGCTTTCATATGTTTCACAAAACTATTACACTATATCTATTATGTGTTACTAAACAACTTAAATAGCATTAATCAATTAAAATAATTTTTATTTGGAATTTTGATTTTCCTTAAATAACTTAATATTCAATTTAAATTATAAAATTATAAAATTTTATTGAAGAACTTTCTTTATTGTTTACAACACTGTTAACACAGGTACTCATACTGCTGCACAGGTATTTTGCAGAAATAAAAACTTTTATTAAATTCAAAAGTACAAGTATAATATAGCTTTAACTCAACAGTACAGGTACAATATAGCTACATGCTTTATCATAAATAGTCACATTAAATTTGATACTTTTACATCTTTCATATATAGAACTATATATTGGATATTTATAATTAACTTTTTTGAGAGTTTATAAATTTTACCAATCTATTATGTAGCTTAATCTATTATGTATGTTAGCAGGGCTCAATTTAACAGTTGGACATCGGACATTGTCCTGCTAAAACCTCAGATTGTCCAATCAATTTACAAAATAATCAGACATTTTGACCAAAATGAATTAAATTCTACAAAATAATACTTTATTATATATATATATATATATATATATATATATATATATATATATATATATATATATATATATATATATATATATATATATATATATATATATAAAATTAAAAGAAAAGAAAATTAAAAATTAATTAAAGGTTTTAAAATAAAACTCAAAAAACTCGAAGCTAAAATTACTTTTTAATATCTTTTCAATTAGGTTTGAAAAAATTACTTTAAAACTTATCTTTTGAAATGTTTTATTAATGTTACACAAAACTTTTACAAATTAATTCTATCAATTGTTTATTAAATGAACAAATTTTATTTAAATTGTTCAAAAATGAAATTAAGTTATTGAAAAGAAAAAATATAATATTTTTTAGTTGAATAAACATTTTTTAAAAATTGCAAAAAAAAAAAAAAAAAAAAAAAAGTACAAAAAATAACTTTATAATAGTAATCATTTTTTGATTAGTAATTCAAGTTTTAAAAAAAAACTTATAAACAATTCTTTGCAAAAATAGAAACAAAAAAAAAAAATAATTAAATCATGGGAAGATTTAATTTAACTTGTTCATAATTTAAAGTAACTTAAAAAAATAATCTTTTAAAAGATGTTTAAGAAAGACTTTTTATGATAAATAAAACGTTATTTTAAACGTTTTATTTATCATAAATTAAAACTTTTTTAGAAATACGTTTTATTTATTAGAAATTTTTTAGAAAACGTTTTATTTATCATAAATTAAAACTTTTTTAGAAATAGTTTCAAACGTTTAAATTTATCATAAAAAATACATACATACTTAAAAAAAATTAAATATATCATTTAATTTACACATAATGCCTTAAATTTAACCAATCATTATAACTGATTTTTTTATTTTATTTAAAGCCTTTGGGTTGAAAAAAAACTTTAAAAAAGATCAATGATTAAAAGTTATTTGTAATGTAAAGACTTTTTTCAATGTTTTTTAAATTGTAAAAATTTCAAAACAGCCGTTGTCAAGTTGAAAAGAATAAAAAAATAATAATTGTTTTCAGTTACAGCGTGAAAATAAATCTAAAAAAACCTACAATATTAAATTGAAACTATTTAATTTAAAAAATGTAAAAATCTGTGATGAAATATTTTGAATAACTAACGCTAAATAAACTGATTAACATGAATAAGATTTCGATTGGAAAACTTGGTTCTGTAAAACCGTAAAAATTAAACAAACTTGATCGGACACTGTCGGACCAAAACAAGTTTTGTTTGGACATTTTGTCCGGGACTTTATAAGAAACTATATTGAGCTTTGTGCTAGTGATGTTTATGAGTTTAAACTGTTTTATATGCTATTTTGCAAGTTTCATTAGTTCTTTAAAAGTGTTTTAGTACAAAACAATTTTAAAAAAATGTGCATTATTTATCTAAAGAATTTTAGTTTAATAAATTATCCTAAAAAAAAATCGAAACATAAATAAAAATATGTAAATAAATATAAAAAAATGAAACATAACTATAAAATAATAAAACATGTTTAATAAAACAAACTAAAATATTTATCTTTAAAAATTTTACATAAAAAACGATTGAAAAATTTTGCCCATAAATGTAAAAAATGTTAAAACATAAATGTTTTAACAAAGTTAAAGTTTAACAAAAATATTAAGTTTCTTTATTTCATTTCATCATCAATATATTATACTTTATTATTTCACGATCTATATATTATACTTTATTATGACATGGTTTTTAAAGAGATTTTTAAAACTTAAAATATATAAATTTTGTATATCTTTGTTGAACCTTACTTTTTCAAGCAGTTTGATTCCAAATGAAAACTTTGTAAATATCCAAACAAGAAGCCCAAAAAGGATCATAAAAAAAGCAACTAAAAATGATGGAGCAGTAAAGTAAGCACCATACTGAATTGGTGTTTGATTGTGATTCATACTCTCATATAATTGTGTACGTCTGACAACGGAAGGATCTGCACCAAGAAATGGAATAAACCAACGATTCTCAGATTTTGAAAAACCTGGATATCTAATAATAATAATAACAGTAGTTAATAATAATAATAATAATAATAATAATAATAATAATAATAATAATAATAAAAATGATCAAGATAACGATCATTAGGATCACATCATCATCATCATCATCATCATCATCATCATCATCATCATCATCATCATAACTATCTATATATTAAACCTCATAAGAAGTTTAGGTCCAGTAAATCTAAGTCTTTCTTTAAAAATAGCTTTTTGTTGAATTTTCAAATTTTTTCTGCCTTGAACACTGTGTATGATAGTTAGGTAAGTCCCATAGTTCCCCTGTAAAGGTTAATAAATTTAAATAACCAACAAGTTAATTGCTCTGTAAAAACAACAAAAAATAAAAATAAAAAAATACTTTTTGTGGTCCATATAAATGAATATAACTCTCAGCTGCAGTTAGTTCACCTATTTTAAATTAAAAAATTAAAACAAAAATATCATAGTACAATAGAATATTTTTAATGAAAAAATTACATAAAACACACAAAGAAAAAGCAATATTTTGTAATTAACTTAAAATTAAAGAACAGCTGAACTTTTTAAATGAAAAAATTAAAACATATTCTCTTAAATTATTTGAAAACAACTTAATTAAAAAGATATTTAAAAAAATAACAGTGTTCTTTTTCAAAAAATTCTGTCCAGCTCTAATGATAAAAGTTACAACATATGATGTCTGTCATTTTAGGATTATGTAAATACAGGTAACATGGATTATTCTAAATTGTTTGCTAATGCTGTTTAAATTGTCTTGATTTCCATTTTATTTAGGCTCATTTAATTTTATTCTTTTTATCTCCATTATTCATAGCATTTTTTTATATCCCATAATAAGTTGCTACTTTTTAATTTCTGACCAATCTGCTATTTCAGGAAACTGTGCTCCAATCTGCTTTTTCAGGAAACTGTGCTGTTCATTTTTCTTTTAGTTTTTTTTTCATTTTTCTTTTAGTTTCTGTTGAAGTACTTTACCTATTTCTGGACTAATTTAATAATTTAATAAATAGTTCTAAACTAATTCTCATTTTCATTTTGTTTTTATTCTTAACTTTCTGAATCTTTGTATGCTTAGATATTAATATGAAATATTTTGATTGATATTTTTATATATAAAACTCTTATAGCAAATTATCAAATTTTAGTCTGGCACGGCAAAACACCACCGTTATTGTTCCCAACAAATTATTTAAAGTATAAGATGTAGATGCATTGATGAGAAGAGAAGATAGTGTACCGTCTGACTTTTTATTTGAAAGCAATGTTTAGGCATGGTTAGTCTTCCTGAATATAAAAGAATGATTCATACATCAGGAGATAATATTATTTTCAAAATAAAATACACATTGTTCTGTTAAAACAGATTTTGAATTATCAATGGAGATGATGAAACAATACTACAACTAATTTTCAATTATTAATTAAAACCTCATTTGAAAAGACTAAAATAATACTTCTATGGAGGCATTATATAGACCTTATGAATACATCTGTCAGGGTTAGTGTCAGGGTTTTTAAAACATTTTAATTTTGACTGAGTTAGATTTTTGACTTTAAACAGGTGAATTTGAGTTTCTTTGTGCTCGAGATGACCATCTTCCAGGCAAAAAAAAACTCAAAAAAATAACTTAAATCTTTTATATGTTCGTTGCCAATATTTCTAACTTTGTTAACAAGTCTTCATCATGAATATGAATAAATATTTCATTAAAGTTTGTAATTAATCAAATTAAACACAAAATGTAAATCTTACCTTTCAAATATACAATTTATCTCTAAGAAAAAGAGTTTTGCTTAGTCAAGCAAAAAAATTTCCAGTAACACCAGGTAATTACAATTTTTTTATAATTTAAAAAATTCTGAAGTAATGACCAATAATATTTTTAAAGTGATAACAATTAACAACTTGCAATATATATCATTTTTTTAAGGGCTGCAACCCTACAATCAGTCCTGGATTATTAAATAGACAGAGTAGGCAATTTTCTAGAGTGCCAAAAAAAATTAAGTTAAAAAGGCCACCGTTTTTCCACCATTTTTCAATAATTAATTTAACAATAATTATTTCATCTTGTATAAAATTTAGTGTTTAAGTAAGTTATTTTGATGAGTTGGTTACAAAAAAAAATTTTATGGTTCTGCTTTAAAATAAAAGCTCAAAAAAAAAACCGCGTTATTGACAGAAACAAAAACCTGCATTATTGACAGAAACAAAAATACAATTTCATATTTTCAGCAAGCCAAAACAAACTAAACTAAAAAATTACCTCAGCATCAATTAACAAGTAAACATGACATTTTGGATAAGGTAAAAATATTCAAATGGAAATATTTGACCATCAAAAATAAATTGTCTCCTCTATTTAAAAAAATGAAAATTCTACTTAAAATATTGAGTTATTTTATTACAGTACTTCTATTGAAAAAATCTAGTAAATGGAAGTTTAAATAATTTAAGCAAAGAAAAATTTAAAAACAAACTTGATATTCAGTGCTAATAGTATTGTTAAAACAATTACACATAAAACATATTACAACATATTAAAGATGTTAAAACATATTACAAGATTATACAAAGATTATAGTCATAAAATCAAAATAAGATGATAAGTCATAAGTCAAAGTAAGATGATAAGTCATAAGTCAAAATAAGATGATAAGTCATAAGTCAAAGTAAGATGATAAGTCATAAGTCAAAGTAAGATAATAAGTCATAAGTCAAAGTAAGATGATAAGTCATAAGTCAAAGTAAGATGACAAGTCATAAGTCAAAGATCATAAAATAAAAAAAACTTGGCATTGCTCAAAAGTTTCTAAATGAAATGTTTACACTTTAGAGTTAAATACATAATTTTATTAGAAAATTGTAATGTTTGCCAGCGCGTCATATGTTAGAATTTATCAAAGATGAATCTCAAAAAAAAATGTTTTTAAATTTAGTAATGAGAATGTATTAAAAATGTTAAATGACTGCCTTAATGGATTAGTTTTTTTAAATATTGAAACAGATTTTATTAATTCTTTAAATATGGATTCAATAATAACTGTTTTTCTTTTAGCTTTTGCCACAGCAAATAAAAAAACATTAAAAAAAAAAATCCATAGTATTAAATGCTTTAGTACAAAAAAATGATCCAGTATTTTAATTTAACTTCTAATTTAAAACTTTGATAATATATTTGATAGGTATAATAACTAATTTTCTGTATTTTGTGTATTTTTTTTTTTTTTTTAAAGTTGCTAATAGGGCATTTGGAAGTGCCAGGAAAATCATGCCTAATTGACCTTAACATAATAAAGAAGTCATACACTTACAGGTGCAAATGTAGTTAAAAATGAAGTTAAAAATTGAACTATTTAACAAGAGAATAAGAAGGCTTGCCCAAACTCTGAACAGACCAATAGAAACTTTATTGGTTGAAAAATGTTTAGAACAAAAACTTAACGTGGAAAAAAATTTCAAGATTTCTCTTAACTTTTAGTTGTCAACTAAAAAAGAAAAAACTGAAAAACAAAAACAAGTGCAAAAATTTGGAGAATTTATCTAGTAAGGTGTTGCAATAATCATTATCATTTTTAATAATCATTTTTAAAATCATTTTTAAAAATATCATTTTTAAAATAATCATTTTTAAAAATAAAGAATAATCATTTTTAAAAATAAATAATCATTTTAAAAATAAATAATCATTTTAAAAAAAGAATAATCATTTTTAAAAATAAACATGGCAGTTATCAAGGTAACTGACAAAAGTAATAAAACAAGCAGATCTTTAACAACAACAACAACAAAAATAACACATGCTGACAGATTCAACAGGTTAAGAACCAGGTATTAAATGCTAACTCATTGTTACCATTGTTGAAAACATACTTGTAACATACAAGCATGTCAGAGAGTTAATGAATATTTAAGTAAATGATGAGGAGTTTTATATTTTATGTGATATAAAAATGGCTTGTATCATTTGTGGGCTTCAGTCCCACAGCAAGCATCCTTAGCTGTTGTACCTTAGCCAACAAGCATCCATCCTTGCTGCTGGTGCAGAATTTTTCCTTAGATTTAAACTATGCAAAAGATACCGCAAATCCATTCAATGCTAATCAATATGGATGATTTAGTACTTATTTTGGTATTACACCAATGGAACTCTATTTTCTTTTGGAATCGATAATCATCTTTCAAAAATCTTTCAGATTTGCTGACTGGCACCAAAGAATGTCCAGCTGAGTTGCACAATGCACTTAAAATTCAATATAAGAACAAAATAAGAACTGCTTTAACCATATAGAACATGACATTTTTCAATGTTGCTTACTAAAGCATTTGTAACAAAGATAAGCAAACTATAAATATATGTAGCCCTCATAAATAGGGTTGGTATTTGATAATGTCCACCTAACTGCCGACCTGAAAGTGTTTGAGTTTCTATGTTTTATGGTAAACCCTTTGTGTCAAATTTTGCTGACCTGATGCTGACCTCTAGCATTTTGAGATCAGCGATTTTTTACCAACTTAATTTTTCCTTTTTCTGAGGGTTGTGTATGTAAAAACTAAAAATTTGTAAAAATACCTTTTGCTTTTTGTCTCTAACATTCCGAAAAAATATTTCACAAAACTTCACAAGAATCTGTATATTTTACAAGAGTCAGTATATGTTTCAAGAATCCATAAACTCACAAGAATTTGTTTATTTCATAAGAATCTGTTTATTTCATAAGAATCTGTTTATTTCATAAGAATTTTTGATTGTAAATATAGTTTGGAATATGAACTGAAGAAAGTATAATGACTTGAATATAAACAATATATGGACAAACATTTTTTTAGTTTAAATATATTTTAAAACTTCTACCACAATGAATGTTTAGACCTCAAACATTAGGGCTAACGTTGAATTTTTTTTTTTTTTTAAATACAACAACATTTTATGTCGCTCTACAAAAATACTCCACTATATTTGCCTTTTGACTCATTTAGGAAGATTTAGGAAGATAATTGAAGAAATTATAAAACTACATCATCCAAAAATAGATTAAAATTTATTTAAAAAAATTAAGTTTAATCATAAAATTGTGTTTAAGAAAAATAACTCAAATAAAGAAAAAATAATGTGTTTAAGAGCAAATTTTAGGCTTAAACTTACCTTATATTGAGAGGATTGTTAATTTTTCATGGTTACTATTTCTAAACTCCAAGTGATTTTTTTTTTAAAAAAAAAGCCAAAATATTAATTTTATTAAAAAGAATTGGATGATTAAATTTTTTTCCTATAATAATGAAAGAATTTTTGTTTTTTATAAAAATTTAAGGGTATTTTTATTTCCAAGTTCCCATAATTTTTGTAAAACATCCTTGACATTACGGTGAACATATAAACATTTTGAGTTTGTAAGTAAAAAAAAAACCAATCTAATTACGAATAAAAATCTGGTTTGGACAAAATTAAAATATATTAAATACATCTCTAAATGTATTCATAAGGTCAATATGTTTACATAAAAGTATTTTTTTGCTACTATTTGATGAAGTTGATCATGAATTTAAAAGAGTCTGAACACCACAAAAGGAACCAGAAAAGGTTCCCAGAACCCTTTTTAAACATAAGGGTTTTCTCTTATTTCAAAGGGTACTATCAAGCCTTTCCAGGAAATGTGTGCAGTTTTGATTCTTGTATCTCCATGCAAAAGTATTCTATTTTAGACAACTTGATCATAGCCGTTTGCAAGTTTTATTATATTAGGTTTTGCGAAAAAAAGTTTTACCAACAAAGAAAGCAAAACTAACAATAGGATAATAAATTTAAATAGAAAAAAATAAATAAATAATAATTTAAATAATTTGTGCATTATTTTTATTTTTGTTTCTTTAGGGTGGTTGTTATTTTCAACAACAAATTAGACATACCATAGGCATAGCAAAAAAAAAAAAAAAAAAACCAAAAAAAAAAAAAAAAAAAAAAACCCAGCTATGTTAACTTCAACAAGTTGACATTTTTCTATTTTTTTTTTAAAGAGGAAAGCAAAAATGTATATTGCTATCTGTTTGTAAAATATATTTATATAATTTTAATGTATTAAGTATATATTGTCCCTATATGAATGCCTCTATGTAATGCATGCGTATATTTTTATGCATAACTTTTTAATCATATAATAAAGTACCATTCCAATTGTTATGCAATTGCATTTTAAAGTACCAATGTAATTAAATTTAATTTAATACCATATTAAAAATTATATAACGTCTTTATCTTATTGTTATAAAAAAATTATCAATAAAATTTAAATATGTTGTTTGAAAAAAAAAATCCTTATTTTAAAAAGTTATACTTGTTTAAACTTATACTATTTATTTCTTAAAACATTTATAAGACAACATGATTGTCTTATGTTTGCTTTCTCACAATTTAGTTTTTTTTAACGGTAAAAAAAAATCAACTATTTTTTTTTTTAACATTTTGGCTTTAAAAAATCTTCACTTTCTTCACAAATCTTCATCTTCACACGTAAAACTTTCTACTCTTAGTTAATCCTTCTAATCGACGTTTAGATCAATCTAAAAACTTAATGATATTGAAAAAACCTTTGTTAAATAAAAATATCAAAACTAAAAAAAAAAATCATTTTTTCATAAAATTGTTACATAAAGTTTACTAAAAAAATACTCTAAAACAATTTTGCCTACAGCTAGATTATGGTTTATCTGGCAATGCAGGAAAAATATATACAGTTATAAATGGCATTAGGCACTTTAGTATATTAGCACTTTCGTAACCGTAACAAAAATTTATTGACTTGAAACAATAAATAATAATAAATGAATAAATTAACAAAAAATAAATTAATTAACACAAAAATAAAACTATAAATAAAAAAAAGAGTTCAAGGCAAAACAAACATATAAAAACTAAAATTAAACTTGATTAAGAAAATTTTTTGGAAAGTTTTAAAAGTTAAAAAAAAAAGTTAGTGTTTTAAATTAAAAAAAAAAATTATTCTGTTTTTTAAACTAAAAAAAAAATAATTTCACAATAGCTGTAAAAAGGTTTTTTACAACAATTAATTACCGCCTAATGTTTTCTGCATAAAAACAATTTTTAAAAGATTGTTTAAATAATTAATTAGTTTAATGTAATAATGTAATAAATAATTAGTTTTGATGTAATGTAAATGGCTTAACGCATAGGTGAAATCACCAATTCGTATGTAAACATATGTAAAAATTAATTAAATAAATTAATGTTTTAACTAAAATAAAAAACACAATGTCATTTAAAAAAATTAATTGTATAATATACTGCAATGCTTTTTAAAAAGCATGGTTGTTACAAAAAAAAAAATTAAAATTAATAAAGAGCGCTGATTTAAATGATTAAATAAGGAGCAGCTCGCACAGCTCCCCGTGTTCGTTTTAAGGGAGCTTTTCTCCAGTCTCATGCTCATTTATTCCCACCCAGGCCTATATATATATATTTATATGGGCAATTCCACTGGAAAATGAAAAAAGTAGTCAAATTTTATTCTCTTTTTCATCAACTTTTAGCAAATGAATATTGATGTAGACACATGGAAGTTTATTTAAAATATACCTTTAGTACTAAATTTATTTATGTCATTCTTTTTGCTTCTGAAAGTCACAGTTTTTCTAATTGTGGCATGATAAAAAAACTATCATTGTCAAATGTTACTTTAACTATGAATTTATTTGCATAATTGGAATAATTTTAGTGTGAAAATGGAGCTAACATGTTCAAATTGTTGTTGGTTAGATTTTATACTTTATAAAATATATGTATTTCAAGAAAATAACAAAAGAACTTTTGCAATTTTCATGAAATGTAGGTTAACAAAAACATAATAAAGTTTTGATTTTTCTAAAATTTAGTTATAAAACGTAAGTTTTTAATAATATATGCAAAAGAATATTAAATGTTATGTTATTACATTTAAAGTTTCAAATAATGAAGCTTAGTTAAAACACATTAATATTTTAAATTTGTGTAATGGAAGTTAAAACTACATGCATTTACTAAAGTTCTGGCACTTTTTCTATTAAAAGGATTTAGAAAAAAAAATTTTTTTCAGTGTTAATTAAAATTATTTATAATATTGTTTTTTTATTTGTTTATGTATTCTTATTTTGGTCGACATATAAATATACATAAATAAATAAAAATAAGAACTATATAAATGATTTTATTTTGTTCTGTTATAATTATAACTGTTTTATTTAGAACCTTTTCAATTATTTTACCCAAAATTTAAATAAAATGTTAGTTTTTTCGTTTTTATTTTAACAACTTTATTTAGAAATAAAACAAAAAGTTTATTTTGTCATTTTTATTCTAATTATTTTATTTAAATTTGAAATTAATTGTTTGCTTACCACTTTTTAATTTATTTAAATTAGCAATTAAAAATAAGTTTTAAAATTCTACGGTTGACAAAAATTACACATGTTGGCAGTTAGGTTCATGTTGTTTATATATATATATATATATATATATATATATATATATATATATATATATATATATATATATATATATATATATATATATATATATATATATATATATATATATATATATATATATATATATATATACATATATATATATATATATATATATATATATATATATATATATATATATATATATATATATCAAGCCTTCTCAGGAGACACTTGCTTTAAACTATTAATTGAAACGCTTTTAAATTAATTGAGACACTTCTAAATTAAAAAATATATTAGTTTTTAAATATATCCTTTAAATAAAGGATAAACCAGAACAAACAAATCCAAACAAATATTTTATCATTTATAAAGTCTGTTTCTTTTTTCAGTTTGTGATACTTTTAATTTTGTCTTTAAATTAGTTTGGTTTTTTCAACGCATTATCTAAAACAAGCAAATTATCATTATTTGCGAAAAACTGTGGCCAAGTTGTCAGGAAAAAAAAATATTTTTGTGTATATATTTAGATATAGTGTTGTACCATTAAATTTTTCTCTCAGTAATTCTAATCCAACATCAGCTGGAACACTGTCGAATCCACAAGCACCAACTATATGTATCCCTTTTTCCTCTGCTTGTTTATGGTATTTTAACTGCAACATTTGAAGATACTATGCAAAAAAAAAAAATTAAGATAAATGTTCAATCAATGGAAAGAAGCTAATATTTATTTAATGAAGTATTTTTTTTTGAATAAAATACACTAAAAAAATAAAATTAAAAAGGTTAAAAAACAGAAAGAAAAAGAAACAATAAAGAGCCTTTTAAGAAAGATTTAATAATAATTTAATAAAAATGAAAAGAACTTAAAATTTTAAATTCAGAAATTTGAAAAAAAATTTCAGAACATAAAAATAAACAAAAAGAGTAAATACTCATAAAAATTAAAATATCTTTTTAGGTTTAAAATCAATAGACTAAAATTATAATTTGCAACTATTATTATTGTAACTCCTAATAACATAGAAATATCTTTAATAACATAGAAACAATATGTATGATAAAGAAATACTTTATACCTCTGGTTCACCACTTATATCAACATAATTAGTTGCCATATCAACACAAGCCTTGACAACTTGTTCTCCATACCATCGAAACTATAATAATAAAAATAACAGTTTATTTTTCAAAGTAAATTTTTTAACAAAACACTAAACTACACTAAACTTGTTTCAGAAAACAACATTAGACTATTACAAAACTGGGTAATTTATGAACATATATATAAAATAGGTTAATTTATTAAGTTTTTTCCATGTTTTTAAATTGGTGTTACTTGGAAACACATAGAGTAAGATTATCATCTATGCCAGACAAGTCGTGTTACTAGGCAGTGTTTATTGTCTAGTGGCGTCAATGTCTGTTTTTCTTTTTTTTCTATATTTTACTCTTTGGAACTAAGACTAACTATGAACTTTACTATAATTAACTAATCTAAATTACTAAAATTGGTTAAATAAAATTTAAATTTTTTAAGTAACTTTATCAACATCAACAACCCAAGAAGATATGTGTTATTTTTTAATATTTTAATTGAAATAGAACTTTAGGCGTGTCTACTTTTTTTTTTACTTTTCTTTTTGTTTCATAAATTACTTTCAGATATTTTACGATATCACAACTAATAAACATATTATAAAAATTTATTTGGTGTTTTTACAAACAAATATTTTTATTTAAAAGTTTTTTCTTTAAAAATGGCTATTATAATTCTTAAAAAATAAGAAATTGTTTTTAAAGGATTTTTTTGTAATTAAACTTTATTAGGTTTTCATCGTAAGTATTTTTTTATGTAAATTTGCTTTCCCAAGGCTGAGAAGGCCACTACAGACAAGAAAGCTACTTAATTGAGATTATAACCCTCTCTCAACTCAATAACTCCAAAATAAGAACCTTGACGAAAAAGGCCATGAGCGCTCTATTACTACACCACTATCGCAACTTCACATTTACTGCATTAAAAGTCTTAAATGAAATTATTAATTTTTTTTTTGACATCTTTACTTCCAACAAGGTTGCAAGCAACCACTATTAGAGTTAGAAGTTATTGGAAGAAAAAAGTTGAAGTTTATAGAGCAAGATAACGATTAACAGACAACTTAAAAGATTTCAAATTAGAAAAACAAGATAAAGGAAGCAAATTCCGAAGAAATAATGTTCAAGGAAAAAAACTAGACAAATGAGAATTTTAGCAGCACATAGGAATAGTCACTATAAAAGGGTGAAACTTAATTGAATGACAAGTAACACAAAAATGAATTTTATTGGATGGCACAAGAGATGCTAGCTCTTTAGAGAAGAACCCATTATAGTATTTATAGAAAAGGGAAAGAGAATCAACATTATGGTGATGTGATAATGACCGTAAGTTGGCTGCAAGAGCAGGTCCAACTATGTTTACAATGCATTTTTGGAATTGATTTGATATATGGTTTCTAAGCAAGATTGGAAGTAAGAGTTAAGAAGGGTAGATGACTCATTATTGCATTACTGTTCATAAATATAGGAAGATCTAGATTATTGCAATAAAAAATTACCTGAAAAAAATTGATTTTTACATGAGTTTTATAAATTTAAACATCTTACTATACTTTCTTTAATTGTTAGTTTTAATTGCTTTATTAGTTTTCCTAGTGTTGAAACATGGTTTTAAGTTGGTAAATTTATATGGTTTGAAATTTACTGTATTAATCATTAGTCAACAGTTAAGGAAAAACTAGAAATTAACATAATTGAGATAAAAATAAATTTATTTATTGGTGTCATTACAAAACCAGTTATTAATGTTTTATAGCTATTTTGTGCTACTTTGTTTTTGCCATTTAAAAAATAATTTAATTTTTATTGATTTAATAACTTATTTTATTATTTTATATTAAAAGAAAAAAAAAAATAAACTAAAATACTAGAAGTAGAAGTAAATTATAGTAAATTAAGTGAATTATAGATGAATTTATATTTTATTATACTTCTCAGATAACATATCAAGGTCAGGGATGTGAAGTATGAACCCAGGATCTATTTTTTCCTAGAAGTGGGATTCTTGGGAGTCCATGAAATTTTAGGACTTCTTTGTCACAGAGTACCACGGAAGAACATTTAACAAGAAAGCTTACATCCCCTTTGTCTACTTCCAATCTCATTTATTTGGCTTGGTTCAGAATTTGCTTGCTAGTATGAAAATATTTTTGAAATCAATTTAAAAATTTAATCTTCAAAAAAAAAACTATTTACTAATGTCTTATTTATTTATTAAGACAAAGTGACACACAAAATGGCGCCTTTCAATGGTTGCTAAGATAAAATAATCTTTAAAAAGTTCAACAAAAACCATTTAATGTAACAACACAATTGTGAATTAAAATCTACAGATTTTGCTAGAGCAATTTAAAATTAAATTTCCTTTCATAAAAGCCAAGAAATATGTTAACTTTTGATAAAAGATTTTTTTATCAAAAGTTAACATAAGTATTTTTGAAAGAAGTCAAACTTAGATTTTTAATATTATATAAGAGGGGGTAAAAATTAAAAGATTTTTTATCTTTTATTTTTAAATTTTGTATTTAATTTAAATTTTGTATCTTTTAATTTTAAAGATATTTCTTTACTATTGCAGCAAACATTGGCCAGGTTTCGTGTTGCACAGTTCATTTAAGAATTAAAAAATGTTCATCTATCAGTGAAATATTATATAAAAAAATATCTGCATTTATAAATGTTTATAAATATATTTATAATATGTTTATAAATATTTATAAATATATTTATAAATGTTTATAAATATATTTGCATTTTGTTAGTTCTATTACTTTTGATGAAAAAAGAATTAAAACTGGTGTAATTTTTTTTTTTTAATTTGTGAAAACTATTAAACATTTTCTAATGAAATAATATATAAATATGGTAAATTTTTTTTTTTTTTTTTTTTTTTTTTTTTTTTAACATCTTCACTTCCAACAAGGCTGCAAGCAACCACTATAAGAGTTGGAAGTTACTGGAAGAGAAAAGACTAAATCTGTAGAGCAAGATAACGATTGACTGATGACTTAAAAGATTGCAAATTATATGAATCAGGAAAGCAAGATGAAGGAAGCGAATTCCAAAGAACTGATGTTCGAGGAAAAAAACTAGAAGAATAAGAGTTTTTGAAGCACTTAGGAACAGTCACAGAAAAAGGATGAGACTTAATTGAATGGCGAGTAACACGAGAATGAATTTTAGTAGATGGCACAAGGGACGCTAGCTCTTTAGAGCAGTGCCCATTATAGTATTTGTAGAAAAGAGAAAGAGAAGCAACATTACGACGATGTGACAAAGGTTGAAGATTGGCTGCCAGAGCAGGTCCAACTATGTTTACAATTCGTTTTTGCACCTTGTCTAAAAGAGAAAGAGCATCATTAGAAGATCCGCCCCAGATGTGGCAACAGTATTCCATACAGGGACGGATTTGAGATTTATAGAGATAGAGAATAGAATCTGGAGTAAGAAAGTGTCGAGCTCGATAAAGAGATGCAACCTTAGCAGATGCTAATTTTGCAATGGATTTATGCTAATTTTGCAATGGATTTGATATACGGTTTAAAAGAAAGATCAGAAGTAAGAGTTAATCCTAGAAGATGAATGGTAGATGACTCATCTAGTACATTACCATTCATAAATATAGGAAGATCTAAATTATTACGATAACGATTGGCCGAATAAAATTGAGTTTTATCTGAATTAAAGTTCACCAGCCACTGTGAGCCCCATGCTGTAGCAGAAGTGAGATCCTTTTCAAGCTCAGATACCCCCTCCAAGCAATCAGAGAGTGTAGGCTTCTTATCATGACAAGAGTAAATGGTAGTGTCGTCAGCGAATAATGCCACCTTAGATGTGAGAATATCTGGAAGATCGTTAATGTAAATTAAAAAGAGTATAGGGCCAAGGATTGAACCTTGAGGAACCCCTGAAGTTACAGGATGTGAAGAAGAGTGTTGTCCATCGAGGACAACTTTTATACTACGATTGGAAAGAAAAGACTCAATAATCTTAAAGACGTTACCAGCTACACCATAAGAAGAAAGCTTATGGAGAAGACCAGCATGCCAAACTTTATCAAAAGCTTTAGAAATGTCAAGTGCGATAGCCTTAACCTCTCCACCTCTATCTAATGCACGGTAAAACCTATCGGTTATTACTGTTAGCACATCAGCTGTAGAACGAGAAGACCGAAATCCATATTGATGATCAGAAAGTAAGTTATTTGATTCAAGATGAGAGATTAAGTGTTTGTTGATTAAAGATTCAAAAACCTTGCTTATGACAGGAAGAAGACTAATGGGACGGTAGTTAGATGAATCAGATCGCTCTCCGGAATTTTTGAAAATAGGGATAACAGATGCATGATGGAAAACAAGACTCTGATAAGCACTTGTTAAATAGTTTAGAAAGTATGGATGAAAGCTCCGGAGAACACCTCTGCAAGACTACAACAGGAATGTTGTCAGGACCACAAGCTGTTGAAGAGTCTAAGCAGGAAATTACTTTAGATACAGAAGCTGAAGTGATGCAAATGTCAAGCAAGGGATCAACCTGTTTGACGGCTATGTCAGGTAAAACGCAACTAGTGGAATCAAGAGATGATATTGATGAAAAGTTCTTAGCAAACAATTCAGCTTTGTCTTTAGGTGAGGTGACAAAGTCTGAACCATACAAGAGAGAAGGAATAACAGATTTACCCTTATTATTGATACTGTTAAAGATTCTCCAGAAGTCTCGAGAGCCTAATTTTTGTGATGAGATACGAGATTTAATGACCTGGGAATAGCGAGCTTTGGCGTCAGACAAAACCTTTTTACAATGGTTTCTGGCGATAGTGAACAGATGTCTGTTTTCTGGAGAATTGTTTTGCTGATAGATATGGAAGTAACGGTTTCGATTAGAAATTGCTGCAGCGCAATGTGAGGAAAACCAAGGAGAAGAGTGAGGCTTGACCTGGAATCGTCGAGAGGGATTAAAAGATTCCATGCCAGCCTGAATCCACGAAGTTATGTAAGAAGCACATTTGTCAGCAGGAAGACGAAAGATTTCTACCCAAGGGCCATCACGAAGAAAATCA